ATAATTGAAAAAAGTTATTATTAATAAAAATTTTTTTATAAAAGATATATAATAAAAATTTTTACATTTAAATAAATCCTAATATCTAATAATTTAATTAAATAAGACAGAATTAAAATTTTATTTGAAAAAATAATTTATTTATATTTATCTGAGGTACAAATCTTTTTGCACCAACCCATATATATTTGTATTTTTATCATTGATGTGCAACACACATGGGCATTATTTCTGAAATCGAGGTTTAACAGAAAATCGGCACTTTGTCTCAAAATAACGCACATGCACGTATACTCGAAATAACGCATTATTTCGTGAGAATATGTAGTAATATTCTAGCACTATTTTGATGCCGTCATTTAATATCGGTACTAAATTCAATGAATAACATATAACAATATGAAATTTGTATAATATAATTAGTAATCTATATGATTCATTTTTGCAATACATTCATTCTATTTCTCTAAAGAAATATTCCCGAATATAAATTAATTATTTACCCTTTAAAACCTTTATAATTTTAAATATTCAATCTAACTTTCAATACGACATTATATAATCATTTTCATTAGGATTTGTTAATATAAATGTGTAAGTCGCTATGGAAAAAATAAGGTTTGTATGTTAGTATTATGTGGAAAACAATAATAAGAAGTAGTTTTATAACTCAAGGGGTTTATTGGTTAACTGACAAACATTCATTTTACCCTGTGAGAAAAAATAACACTATAAATCCCAAAATCACTTGCAATAATAATATGTAATTTATGTAATAATCACCTGTAAAAACCAGGTTTTAAGGGAAAATTACTTGAAAAATCCCTGCAATCTGTTATAACTTACGATGGATTACAGGTGTAAAACCCTCGATTATAACACTGCATATACCCGAATATTTTTACAAAGACTTTATATATTTATTAATATTATATCTCTACATGTATCACCGCCGCCGTCACTATTCATTACCATCACCATTAATCTTATCATAATTTTTACCGTCTTTTTCAAATTAATTGGTCAAATTATTATTATAAATAGAATTAGAACAAAAGCTGAAAATTAACTACAAAATAGGTTTCGCATACTTATCCAGACAGCATCTAACATCCCGACACCCATCTTCCCGAAATTCCAACATCCCAATAATCCAATATTCCCAACCCAATTTTCCGAAAAACCAACATCCTGACAACCTAACATCCCGCCAAAGATTTTCGGGAAGTTAGATTGCCGGGAAGTCAGGTATGTTGAGATGTTAAATTTTCGGAATGTTAGATTTCAGGAAGTTGGGTTGTTGGAAAGTTGAGTTGTCGGGACATTGAAATTTCGGGTAGATGGGTGTCGGGATGTTGGATAGACCCAAACACAATCATAACAGGTTTTGTACATGTTTTTTGTGATAAATAGTGTGGTAAATTCTTTAGTATAATGATTGTAAAAAAGGCAGTGGCAAAGAAAAAATAAACAATAATAAAAACAATAATAATAACAAAAAGATTTGTTAAAAATTTCACTAAGTTCAAAAATTTGATTACGTATGTATCAATACAGGTTATTAAGCATATTGTGAATTATAAAGTGCAGGTGTTTACATAACGATAAATAATCAAATTCCAGATACATGTATATATTGATTAAATTACAGGTTTATACAGGTTATTACAGATTACGGGAATATCATACTACGGGTTTTTCCGTACATGTACAAATTGCAGAGTCTTATACGGCTATTTATTGATAAAAATTTTTCATAGAGCTATAATTATAGATCTTACTATAGAATCGAAGTGAGAAAACAGTTTTTTATTACCGTTGCTCAATTTTTAAATTGTATAACACGTTATTACTAATTATGAACTCATCCACAAAAAGCGAGACCTTGTAAATTACATTTTGAAAACGCATACGAGTTAGTCATATGATATTTACTATTTTCAGATTATTTTACTAGTTTTGGATCCACGCTGTGGCGTAAAACGCACTATGAGTTTTCTTTATCATTACTTATTTTGATTTTTACAAAACTAGCCTTTTTAGAACTACAACATGACAAGATATACACTTCATAAAAACGAGATGTAATAGAAAGCATGACATGACAAATATACTCTATGATTTCCTTACCTTATTAAATTACATATAAAAGTAGCTTTTTTTCTTGTCAATTCGTTCAAAATTATCAATAAGGGTAAAATGAAAATATCAATGTCAAAAGAAAAAGAAGCGAATAAACTTGCAGCAGAGACAATTCTTCGAATTGTGTTTGTACTATTGATGACAAGCATAATCATCTTTTTGGCAATTCCGAACATTAAAAAAATAGTGCAACATCAAGATCCATTAGTCGTAATAAATATTGATAACCAGACCACTGAAGGAATTCCAGTGCCAAATGCGTTTGTATGTGGAACGCTCCTTGGCCCTGTCGATTACGTCGACTACATCACCGTAGAGAAAATTCCATTAGGTAAAAAAGCGATAATGGTTGAAGAGTATTTATGGCAAACAGATGAGACGATACTTAAAGCTGGTGGTGATGTAACGGAAGGTAGCGAAGGAGCCCAATGTTTTATTTTTCAACCTGATGGAGCGCTTAAGTTTAAGTTGACAAACGATAATGATTCCATTGATTATATTTCAATTAACGTGTGGTCTAAAACAGCAAATGTTACTGATACCGCAGCAAATATTGGGGTAATATTTGGGTTTTGGAATGCTGAACGCGATATTAGTGTTATAAAACCATTCATCGCCCGTACTGCAACAATCAATCATTTTACGTTTACATCGATATTTCGAAATGGAATAAATAACGATATGCATCAGGATTTCACAATTAATATGCAAAATACGCTTCAAATTGGAAGTTTTTACGTTAATCGTTCACTTCATGGTGATGATTCGATAGTCGCAAAAATTAATTATTCTCCGGATTCGTATATGGTAAATAAGATTCGTTATTTGTTTATTAAATTATTATCTAATATCGATATATTTGTTGTATAATTAGGTGACTAAGTATACAGAAAGACAGCCATACGGATGGCTGGATTTGGTTGGTACTATCGGAGGTATTCTTACATACGCAATCGGAGTTTGGATATTTTTATTCGGACGAGGAAAATATAGACCTTGGGGATTTATTCAATGTTTTCTGTTAAGAAACTCTCCAAACGCAAAAAAGCCACCATTAATAGAAAAAGAAGAATTCAATGAAGTATTTACCGAGCCAAGTTTATTACCGTCTCCTACTCGCCCATCCTTGAACAGACC